TGCATACACCTGGGTTCCCCCTCACAGTAATATGATTGGCTGGTGTCAGCCATAAATACAGACTGATGTGGAGGTACATGGACTACGCCTATTCTCTTCGCCTATTTCTGACGCCTATTGCCTACCACTACGACGAGGACCAGTCCATTACGGTTACCTGCTAGATTTTCCTACTCGGTTACAGTAGTCAACAACCACTTTGCTACTTCGAACAAATATATCCCTTTCCGGGACATATCAGTAGGATACATTCTTCTTCCGGTGGTTGGAATGTCGAATAAAACCCTTTATTTCGCTCGCTAGGGTAGACTGTTCTAGTTCCAAGTGCCATGTCTAATGGATGTCAGTTATCAGTTATCTCCCGTTATTTCACCTCTCCAAGTTCTCCACTTCCTTATCCAGGTATTGAACTGTTGGATCCTGTCACTGGATCAAGCCAATGCTCTGGCTTTGAATAAGTTAAGAATGAGGTTTCTTTTTTAATCAGTTATCCCTTAGCAAGGCAGTGATTCCACTAAGTCTGGAAGTGAAAGAGAATGAACGATTTTAGAAGAAACCGTATCCTTAACAGTGAATAAGAGAAAAACCTATACTACTGCTCAAAAAAACAGTGGGGAATATGAACCGGACGATATACGAACTTATCTACTCCCATTGTGAGAACTAATAATTGGCAAATAAATTTCGAACAGAGACCTTTGTAGTATAAGAGGTGAAGTAGACTTTAGAAGGAACCGGTATCCTAATCCTGAACAAGGAACAAGGGATAAACCTTTACACCTGTTTAAAAGACCGGGTAGGAGTGCAAATTGGGCGATAAGTATCTATATACAACTATAGTTGTCGGGAGAGCAACCATTTGATAGTCTGTTCCATAAATCAAGTACTTCAATGGAGCTTCCTTCTTCTCAATGGAATGTAAATGGAATTAGGATGGTTCGCCACTGTGGACGTGCCGAAGCAGGTCTTATCACTGAAGGTCTAAATTGTGAAGGCTCGAACTGTTGGAGAGGCTTACGGACACATCAGGTTGAAACACACTGCCCTGTACGATCACCGAAGTTAAGAAACCTCAAGGCTGATCAGTACTAAGATGAGTGAAATATCAGGTGCCTGTAAGCTTCGATGTGCGGGTGCATGTAATGTATTATGTCTCGGAATTGTTAATCTGAGATAGAGAGAGCCGTGTTCCAATTCCATTTGGGTTTATTTGATTCACTTACACGTGAATATCCTCGGGAAAGAATAAATCTATGGGTTAATTATTAATATTTATATCACTGAGCCATTATTTTCTTCAAAAAGTGAAAAATGAAATTGCGTACAAACTATTTAGATTTCGCTAATAAATAACCCATAGACGTTGATATGGCACTAAACAAAATCAACCAACCAATATCCAAATATTTAGATTTCGGCATTAAATAACCCATAGAGGTTGATATGCCGCTAAACAAAATCAACCAACCAAAATCCAAATATTTAGATTTCGGCATTAAATAACCCATAGAGATTGATATGCCGATAAACAAAATCAACCAACCAAAATCCAAATATTTAGATTTCGGCATTAAATAACCCATAGAGGTTGATATGCCGCTAAACAAAATCAACCAACCAAAATTCAAATATTTAGATTTCGGCATTAAATCACACATAGAGGTTGATATGCCGCTAAACAAAATCAACCAACCAAAATTCAAATATTTAGATTTCGGCATTAAATAACCCATAGAGGTTGATATGCCGCTAAACAAAATCAACCAACCAAAATCCAAATATTTAGATTTCGGCATTAAATAACCCATAGAGGTTGATATGCCGCTAAACAAAATCAACCAACCAAAAATATATATTGTTAGATTTCGGCATTATATCGCCCATAGAGGTTGATATGCCGCTAAACAAAATCAACCAACGAAAATCCAAATTGTTAGATTTCGGCATTAAATAACCCATAGAAATTGATATGCCGCTAAACAAATTCAATCAACCAAATAAGCAATCAACTAACGAACTTTTGGAGATGGGGTGTGTTGCTTGTCAGAATATTTTTGATAGCAATAGCGATAAATTTTCCATAGTCATACGGCATTACGGTTGGTTAGTGTGGAAAATAACTCATCATTTACAAGACAATATAGACCCTTTTGAATTCGATTCTGGAAGGAGATGAATGGGTGTCAGTAGCACAGATCTCGCATCAATACAACTTCTTAAGTTTTTGATCCGACATCTATAACAATTGTCAATAATACTTACGGAAAATTTACCTTTCTAGATAATCATAAAAATCGCAAAAAGCATTTTTTTTACTAACTTATCAATATATATATATATATATATATATATATATATATATATATATATATATATAAAACTGTCATATATTTTCTGGATGTATGCAGTCATGGCTCTCCACGTTTACCTTTTCCTTATTATCCCTGAAACCTTCTTTGCAAAGTAAAAATATTCATCTCAGACAGCAGTTTTTAGATACTGCTATATGTAACAACTACCGTATTTGACGGCATATAAGGCGCGCATTTTTTTTTTACTAAAAATATCCTTTAAAATTCCCCTGCATCTTATATGGCATATGCGGGTTTAAAATTAGCGATAGTTGAGCGAAATTAGCTATCTGGCAGTACCTATTAGCTTATACTTTAGACTAACTTTCATATGCCTATTGTCATTATTTAAAAGTCTATTATGCAGATTAAAAATGTTATCATTGATCATATCATTCTATTAATTTCATCACGTTTAATATTTGTACTTTATTTCACTAAAATTATATGCAATAAATTCAAGTTAAATACTTGTAAAATATATTTGTTTCATTAATATTTTTCTTGCGATACCTTCCGACTGCATTGATATAAATACAATCAGAATTTTTATATTCTAATTATTCCAATAAGACATTTACAAGACGCAGACTGTACAGGTCATATAAAGGATATAATAAGGTTTTTATAGGTTCGTGTTATTTTTTCCTAATATTTTTTGTTTAATTGTAATCATGGCTTGTTTAACCAAAGTAATACCTCATAAATATAGCCTAAGCTGTAATATTTACTAATAATTTTACTAATTACTATTTTTTTCTTGATTTACCCTGCTGAAATTGGGGTGCGTTTTATAGACCCGTGCGACTTATATGTCATCAAATACGGTACTTAAATTGTATGTGCATTTGAATGCTCTTTTAAAACTATTGAGGAAATTAATATACAATCAAACTACAAGGTCAAAATTTTATTATGTCTTTCCAATTGCTTAGCATTCTTAGTCTTTGGGAAATAGAGTGGTTTCCAGTTGCCTTCTCCAAGGTTCTAGAATTCAGAGTTTTCCGTTTATTAGTGGTGTTGATATCCAAGACTAGAGATCCTACTCTACCTTGCTATTAAAGATGGCGAGGAGAAACATTCGTTCATTTTCTTAAGGATATCTGTGCGAAAGTTGATTGTCATGTTGGAGTATTGATTAAATGATAACAGGAGACTGGGATTTTCTTTTCTTCGTTATATTTCGCATTGTTATTTTTTTTTTTAAATTACGTTCCCACGCTTGCAATAGCGGCTGATGGTGTCAAGTCGCGTATTTCTGCATTCGGTGGCCGGGAGTAACACATGGTCATCTTTGTAAAGCATTCTGAATTTTGAGCTTGACTTACCGATTCTAATTTACGCACCGACGAACGTTCCATTAAGAACGTTCGTCTTTAGAATTTTCTTTGATTTTTAAGACGTCGAACTTTTATAAAATCATTCAAAGTATTTTACAATATTTTCTGCCCTTTTTTTTTACAACGTACACACAAGATTTCGACCGTATACTCTTCAGTAAATTTTCAGGTTTCAACTTTGGAAACCGTTACGGGATCTTTATTATAATTTTGCTTGTCTCTTTCTTCTTTAGGTAGTTTGTCCATTAGTTACTTCGCACGACCGTTACGCCCTGCCAATACCTTAAAAATAATGGACTACTCTATTTTGACATCGTGAAAACCCGGGACGCTTCTTGGTTTCAGTGAAAAACTGAAAGACAGAAGAGAAATATAAATGTTTAACGTCTTTTTCAGTGAATTGAAAAAAAAGCTGTCAATTTCAAATCTTTTCTTTTTACACCCTTACTTATAAATAACTTTATTAATAAAAACTTTTGCAAGACAGGTTTTCGGATAGTATCCATAAGTTGGTTATTTCTCTGTGTAGAGTATTATTTTTTAAATATTTTCCTTCTGAAAAGAGGGACTGAACTTTTGAATATAAAGTAACAACAAACTTATAATTACTACTTATTTAGGCTAGACTACTGTAGCTCTGCAACATACCGTCAAAATTTTAAAACTAAATATCAGATTGACGAGAACATTAGTTCTATGTTAAAACTAGTAAGACGTTTCCATATAATATACCATTTTTTATGTTCATCTGGTGTTTATAAAACGTACTCCAGTACAATGTGATATAAGCGTAGAATTCATGCTCTTGTGTCACTTACTGAGAAATGAGTTCGATTCTCATTGAGTGCTCCATAGTTTAGGCCTTATGCCACAATCTAAGCTAAGCTTAAAAATAGGCACTTCAACGTAGTGTAATGGTTCGTAAGCTTGTCTCGCTAGATCAGCTTACCACTGAATAGTGTGTTTGATCCTTATTGGGTGCTTCACATTTTCGGCTTTGTGTCACACCTAAGCTACTCTTTGAAAATCAACATGTAGTATGTCATTTTACAAAGTAAGGAACGTCACCATAGCAAGAAAATCCGTATTTATAATGTGAAGGGGATGAACAGATTTTAAACATTAAATTTGATGATTTGAGAAGAAATGTTCAAATTCTGTTATAACGCGAGTTCAGACCATTCAAGATTTTACTATACTCTAGTATAATATAGATGAAAAAAGATGGCGTGTTAAACACGTTATCACATGACGAAAATTAAATTGAATTGTTGCATTCGGCGGGATATATTAGTTTGGATACTTCTCGATGTGTAGTGAATTAAAGTGCCTTTTGTGGAACACCGAAGGAAAAATACCGTACGTATTTGTTTTCCTCTGCAACAACAAAGATAAGACATTTCTTTGCGGGATATAAAAAAAAGATATAAAATATGCTTGAGTGCAAAGCGTTGTTTTTAGGAAGACGAAAATTAATCAGATTTTTGCTCTGTGTGTGTGTGTGTGTCCCTCTGTGTATGTCCATGTGTGTGTGTGTTTGTGTACGTCCTTTTTCGTTACACGGAATTTCAAGGTTATGTTCGGACAGATCTATCTCTGTTCCCATTCGTGAGACATTCATTAAACTCTCTCTCTCTCTCTCTCTCTCTCTCTCTCTCTCAATACTTCTCTTTCTCTATCTGTCTTCCTTTGCGTTTCCATTGGACAGGTTGGAACGTTATCTGTCTATATTTCTGAGATGAATTATTATGTACACTATTTACATTATTCGGACGATTGTCCCCATCTTTGTTGCCATATTGATCACAACGTTTCGTCCGTTGTATGCTCCAGCCCTTTTCAGGTGGTTAGAATGTCGAACTTAAGGACACACGACACAGTGGATAAAGGCATTGGTCGGATCCAGTGACAGGATCCAACAGTTGTGAGTTCAATACCTGGTTAAGGCAGTGGAGAACTTGGAGAGATGAATTAACGGGCGATAACTGATAAATGACATCCGTTAGACATAGCACGTGAAACTAGAACAGTCTACCCCAGCGAGCTAAATAAGGGGTTCAGTTCGACATTCCAAGCACCTGAAGAATGCTGGAGCGTACAACGGCTGAAACCTTGTAATAAATATGACAACAAAAATAAGGACAATAATCCGAATAATATAATAGGTAAGAACGGTATTTCTACTTTTGGAAAATACATACACCTGGGACATACTTTTTATTAAATATTAGGAAAATTTGGCTTCAACTCTTATTTTAAGCTGTGTGTATACTAGGGCACAGTATGTTATTATTGAAATTTATTTTTAAATTATTAAAAGTATCGAGCCATACGTCTTATTGCACCCGCCATATCAATCTCAAATTCAAATTTGTCTATATATCCGTATATTAACTAGTTATTTGTCCAAATAAAAACGCCTTTCTTAACTTTCTCCTGTACTTTTTCAAATTGATGTCATGTCACATATATTTTAACTACACATGCAGAATGTGGAATGAAGTTAAAATACTTGATATTGATGAACAATCAGTGCATATGTTAGCCCATGAGGACCGCTTTAGTAGGCCTAGCATAGAAATCAATACAATATAGGAGCCGCTAATAAAAACAAATACAAATGACATCAAGTTTTCAACAGCAGCATTCATAGAATTAATAAGCAGGCAAGTTAGGATTAAGATACCAAATTCACTAATTGTCCTATAGCTAAATGGCCTAGTGCGTTAAAGCGTTGGTTCGTGAATTCGGTGACATACTGGAGGAAGACCGGTGAACACAACAGCCAAAACGTTGAGATAACAATAACAAAGATGAGGACAATGGTCCTGAAATAAATGTAAATAATGATAAACCCCCATCCCAGGTGTTCAGAGTGAAATTACACAAGGGTGTATATATATATATATATATATATATATATATATATATATATATATATATATATATAGTGAAAATTGAAGTCAACACCCAGTAGCGATAGTTAGTTTTATGCTTAAACGCAAACGGATGGGCTGGGATTGCGTTTGAGCATGAAACATACTGTTGCCTCTAAATTTTGAATTCAATGGTCAATTTTATATTTACATATGCCCTATCCCTGTTATTGATCACTTTACCCATGAATACAGCATATATATATATATATATATATATATATATATATATATATATAGATAGATAGATAGATAGATAGATAGATAGATAGATTATGAAACATGATTACTAGTTAACATTCAGTATTGGAATCTGGGGATACACAGTTGCCCATCAAGATCGTAAGAATATACGCAGCTGCCTCAGTTAGTTTCCTTACAAAGTTGACTTTACTGTGTACAGGAGAAACATAATGAAAATAAATCAGTGACAAACTAATCCTTTAACAAGGAAACATAATTTATTCATAAACAGCCTTGAATATATTATTATCTTCAACGAAATGGACTATTAAAAAATACACAGCTAGTTTAGTCATCGAGCACATACAGGAATATTCTTATCATATCTACATAAAAGAAACCTGCTGTAATATGACATTTAAACTAATCATCTTTCTTTACACGCCTCCAATCCACGCTGCGTGTTATTTGCAAAATAAGCCTATACAAATATTAGCAGGTAGAAAGACTTTTTGCCACTTTCAAATTAGCTTCTCTATCAGACCAGAAGAGTCGACATCAAACGCTTATCTCAAACCCAGTTCGGTCAAATGTATTGGCTTTGCGCATGTTTACCCAATCATGTTGAACTTTATGGGCTTTTCCTCTCGACATTCTCATGACACTTCCGCATGGTGCAGAATTGAAAGGAAGCGATGTGGTCTTTTGTATTCTTTGATCGGTCACCTGATCAGGTATCGATTGGAAATGTGACTGCGATACTAAACAAAACGATAGCGTGTGAATATCATAGTTTAAGAGAGGAAAAAATAAGCTTCCTGAAAATCGTGATCTATATTAGTCTGTGAAATGGTTTTGAGAACCTCAAGCGTGCAGCGATATTTCCCAATGGTATCACTCTTTCTCTGTCTCCATCTCACACACTCTATCTTTCCGTATATATATATATATATATATATATATATATATATATATATATACAATTAACCCGGATATAAGATAAACCCGGATATAAGAGAGATTTTCCCTGGTCTCAAATTAGAGCCCATATAAGAGGAACCCTGATATAAGAGACTTCTTCTCCGGTCTCGACAACTCTCTTATATCCGGGTTACACTGTATATATATATATATATATATCAATGGCGACTATAGATCATCAATATTTTTCGGGATCATAACAATTTTTAACAAACTATACTATTGGCTAATATGATTCTATCTTGAGTGTGTGTTTGTATATATGGCTATGCGTTATTGTGTTTACGTATCTCTCTGTCTGTAAATTCTTAGTTTAATTTATTGTACGTTACTGGATCAGTTGATATCAAATTACTAATTTACGTAAGTATTAAACTGTTCCTTCGCTATTACTAATTGTTTCAGTTTCCATGACTGTCTTATTTCTAATGGTACTGAATTTAATCCACCTCGTCAAAAGTTTTCTATTAAGTTTATTGAATATAAGGTAGCCTGTGAATAAACGTCTGGACACAGTCGTGAAGTGATTGTTTTCGATGTAAATGGTCAGAGTAACACCCCCTTCCTCGGTCCTGTGTTTAAATGTGGGGAACGTTTCCCCAGCTTTTTCTTCCATTTTGTTTTCTTTAATTGCTGCTTCTATTTATTTTCTTTTTCAATTTTTTCTTCTCCAAGTGAAGCAAATTTAATGTCCTATCCCCCTTTTGTTAGCATTTTAGTAAGGGGTAACTTAAAATTAAAAAAACCTAATTATAAAAAAAAAAAAAAAAACTTTTTTGTTGTTGTTTCCCTTACCTTTTCGGGAAGTATTCCAGTCGAAATGTCGGCAACAACCGACCACTCTACACCGAGTTTCGAGTGAAACGGCTCGTTAGCAAGCAAGTAGGACGAAAAACAAGACCTAACAACGGGCAGAGGATCTCGCTGAATCAACGGCCAGCTAACTAGATGTGGTGTCTCCATAAGCCACCGTGGTGAAGGCTACGGGAAACCACTCCATTATCAATCCCAAGTCAAATCATAATTAACAACTCAGATAATGCGAAACCTAACGGCATGAAGGGAGTTATGTCTCTGGTAATTAGCTCTTCGCCCGGTAAGGACCGATATGCACAAAGTGTCAGCTTTCTGTCCTCTTCGGAATCTATTCCACAACCGGAAAGGAATGACATAAGCGACAGGTGTTACCCTACGACTGCTCGCATCAAACCCAAAATAACCCTTGGGAAATAGAACGTCCACATTGAACATCTGCGACCAGTTTAATAATATTAAACAAGAGATGAACACGCTTAGCATCAACATTCTAGGTGTATGTGAAACCAGATGGCCAAACAACAGGGACATTGTCAGCGACAAACACAGGATAATTTATGAAGGCGCTGAGAAGAACGACGGAGTAGGACTAATACTAGATACCACCAACTTTCCAAAGAATTCTGGTATTGAAGCTGAAAGGGAAGTCTTTCAACGTGGCTGTTATAGTTCTGTACGCGCCGACGGAACAATGCAGGGAAGAAGGCATCGAATCGTTCTACTCCATACTGGACAGTATCAGGGTTCTATGCAAATCACAGGAAGACATGATTATTATGGGCGACCAAAACGCAAAAGTTAGGTAGGGAAAGGGCAGGGGATATAGCAGGAAGATCCGGACTGGGAACCCACAACAATCGTGGGGAAAAATGGATCCAATGGTGCAATGGCCAATGATCAGGTAATAGCCAAAACACGGTTCCAAGAACACCCGAGACGATTATGGACATGTAGGAACCCAGGAGGAGAAACTAAAAAAAAACAAATTGATTATATAACTTTTCAACAAGATATTCAGGAATGCAATGATCCACCGCAGAACCTGTTACCGACTGCAGAAGCAATCATCGCCCTCTTGTATGTAAACTAAGAATAAAACTGCGGCTAACACAGCAACCACACTGCAACCTAAAAGAAAAATACATAGACAATGTAAAAAGAAAACACGAGGCATACAAAGGAAACTCGAAATGGAACGCACTAAGAGGCGCTTTAGTGACATCAGCAAACGATATCATCCCAACGGAGACGAGATGAAGAAGAAAAACGATTGGATGACTGATAAGATTCTCGACATGAAGGATTGAAGACAGAAAACTCGGCCAAGATACAGAACGGAATTCAGAAAATTACACAAGGAAATATGGACCAAATGCAGGCATGTTAAAGAAGAATGGCTAAACGAAAAATGTGCAGAAATAAAGAGATTGCGTACTACCAACAAAAGAGAGAAGCACAAACAAATAAGACAACTAACAGGACAGAAGACATGTTCGTCAATAGGCTGCCTTAATTCAAAGGATGGATCGCTTATATTAGAAAAGGAAAAAAATTCTTCAACGCTGAAGCGAGTATATTAGAGAACTCTTCCACGACGTAAGGGCAATACACAGAACTACCGACGGACATGGAATTCTGAAAACGGAAGTAAAAGCCGCGCTGGTCAAATTGAACAGAAACAGGGCAGCTCGGCCAGAGAAATTGTAAAGGAAATGTTGACTGCCTTAGATGATTTGGTCTAGACATGACCTTTGAAATAAAAAAAAATTAAATCTACAACAGTAGGGATAAACCGGAAGAACTCAGCAGAGCTATCTTCGTAGCTATGGCTAAGAAAGCAGGCGCAAACGAATGCGAACTCCACCGAACAATAAGACTAATGAGCCACGTGGCAAAACCCACCGTCCGTACTCTAATGAACAGAGCGCGCAGCAGAATCAGACTAGAGATAGGGCAAGAAGAGTTCGGGTTCGTTAAAGACACTGGAACATAGAACCCGATATTCTTCCCCAGAATGTTATCAGAAAGAGCGATACCGATGCGGAGGACGTGTATCTATGTTTTATAGACTACGTAAAGGCGCTCGACAAAGGATCTGATGGAACTGCTCAGCAACTTTGATATATTCGGGAAAGATATCAGAATAATCAAGAACATGTAGTGGCAGAAAAAAGCATACATGTGCATAGGGAACGGGTTCAGTGAATATACATAAATAGGAAAGGGGCGTAAAGCAAGGGTGCGTCTTCTCACCCGACATGTTCAACCTATAAAGCTAGGCAATTCTGAGAGATTTGGAAAAAAATTAATGCCAAAAAACATTGCCTATTAAATATCTCCATCTCAGATAAGGCTCCGATCTACGTAGCCCGACTAGTCAGTTCAATTTTATTTCAGTTTTTGTTTTACTTACTTTCTTTGATTCTTTTTCTTTATTATGAACAATATCAACGAAATGTATATTGGTTAATGTTTTGAGGCAAGGATTTAAAACAATGAATTTTGAATCCAGCTGAAGACAACAATGAAAACGAAGAACTACGAAAGGTATTTGCTTTTTGAAATAGATATACTTGAATGTTGACGACGAGCTCGACAAGCCCAATAAGCCTGAGTCGCCACTGATATATATATATATATATATATATATATATATATATATATGAGATGAGTAAAAAAATATAAAAATCCGCTAATCAGTGCTTCATGCAGTCACACAACAAGCCCCCCACTTGTATATATATATATATATATATATATATATATATATATTACAATAAACGTGCAATCAATTTACAAATACATGAATTATTCACACAAAACTAATGCAAAGGTTAATGTTATATACCTGAAGATGTCTGTAGGAACAGACGAAAGCTTGTAGTAAAATAACAACTAATACGGCAGAAATTTATATAAACAAGGATCAATTCATTCATAACGGATCTGGAGGTTTTTGTGTACTATTTGAATTGTTTGCGATGATGGATGTCTCGCCATTTAAACCATTAACCTTTGCATTAGTTTTTGTGTGAATAATTCATGTATATATATATATATATATATATATATATATATATATATATATATATATATTTTTTATATGGGCTGCACTTAGTAGAAAGCGCTCATGTATGTCTGATGATTGCCAAAAGTGTGAAACCCAGGGTCACAAACTCATATCCATACAACTATATATATATATATATATATATATATATATATATATATATATAGTACAGTAGTGTTATAATTCTACGAGGTAACAAAGTGCTTATTTAAAATGTGTTAAATTTCAGAGCAAAATAAAATATTACATAACAAATATGATATCACAGTTACTTTAAAATCCTACAATGGTTTCTGTGTTATAGACAGTTCAAAAGTTCTAAGAATAATTGTTTATTTTCCAAATATGTCAATTTTACTCTAAACTGTCACAAATCTTCATCTCGGTGATATTTCAAACAAGTATATAATTGCATGTTCAAGAATGCCTCTTTTTATCTAGGCTCGAAAATTTTCTTTCAGGTATGACTGACATTTACCAAATGTAAATATCTATCTTTTGGCTCTTTTTTTATTTTTAAAACTTTCCAGGAATTAAATTAGAAGACATTGTTACTTTCTCCTTTTTTAACTGTTTCTGGTACGTTCTCGAATGAGAAAGAATTTACACGGATATTTGATTTTTTTTTAGGAACAGTTGTGTAAACGTTTTCGCCGTTGTACGAATGTCTTTTTTTCTTGGAGGTCAAAAAACGATAGTCGCCTTATAAACAATATCTATGAAGCATTTCCCACTAAGCGGGTAGATAATAATGTTCTCCAATTACATATTTTGTTCTATTTTGTATTCTATATTCTGAATATTATTATGTTTTATCAATAATCTGACAAACCTGGATATACAATTATAACTTAATATTGCTTTTATTTAAAATACCAGGTACTGTAGATTCCGAAAGGAAATGTTTTCTTTGTATTAAAACTTTATTATAGTAGTAAATCTTTTTATTGCAATATATGTGCTGTAATCGCCAGTGGTGTAAACCGAATCATTATTTTTTTCTGAAGAGAATAAAAAAGGTTTTTGAAAAAGACAAACAGGAAACTATAAACAAAGAAATAAAAAAAGAACAAAGATTTGTTTGTTTTATTTTACGGTATATCAACCTCAATGGATTATTTAAAGCCGACTAAATTTTTATTGTTGGTAATACTTTTTATCTATCTATCTATCTATCTATCTATCTATCTATCTATCTATCTATCTCAGTATATATTGATTTGGTTTTGTTTGGTTTATTTTACGGCATATCAACCTCAATGGGTTATTTAAAGGCGAGAAATTGTTTATTGGTGGTATTTTTTTCCAAAAATGTATTGCTGGTAATATTTTATTCCTTCAAAAATCTGTTTCTGGTACTATCTGCTTTCAAAAATATATAGTTGGTAATTCTTTTTCAAAACTGTTTAGTTGGTAATATCTCTTTTTTTTAAAAACTATACTGCTGGTAATAATTTTTTACAAAATATTCCTGGTATTAAAACCTATTTTACAATTTCATTGTGTTTTAACCCCAGTTTTGGGGTTAACTGTTTGCCCATAGCTGGGACCCTAACAGGTGCTACCATTCTGAGTCAAGATGGACCTGAGAACACCAGCAATTAAGAGATGTTTTTTACGCTCCTCAAAGCCTTCTGATCAGAGGACTTGCTGTTGGACGTAGTTTATCGACTTACCCAGGATGTAGTTTATCGTCTTACCCAGGACGGAAAAAAAAAATTCAATAATGACAAAGGCGTCTAATTTTCATAATGCATATGATACCTTTATTTATATCATTGGTGGAGTGAAAATAGTGCCAAACCTGATTTCATTCTGTTCTGTTTGATGAGCTTAAAGAAGGATTTACTGGAATTTAGAGCGATCCGAATATAGAGGTCAAATGATCTAAACTTTTCAGGATTTTCTGTTGCCTACAGGAATGTGTAGCGTTTAATAAAATAAAATAAAATAAAACCCTGCTCCTAAAGGAAACTACTTCTTGCGTTGAATATCAGTAGAAGCGCCAGACAGGTGTGAAAAGTTACAAGAAAACTCGAGTGACGTTCTTAAATAGCCTCGCTAGATCACGGCTCTCATCTGGGCGTAATGCGTAGCGGCAGACATTTTGTGAAGTTTTTAAACTGTTAACTGCATAAAACTGCTTTCTCAGAATAATGGCTATACATGGTTTGAGCGAACGAACCCTGTAGGTTTTATAGATGAACATCCTTCTTCGAACCTTGAGGACTGGTGCTATACAATCACAAAACCAGAACCTTACCTAATAACAGAAACCACATCAGTGAGGACTTTTAACAGCGGCAACAAATAAAACGGATAGCGCATGTAAATTCAAAGAAAAAAACAATAACATAATTTAGTTGTTGCCATTCTACAACACTTCAAACAAACTTTTAGTAGAGAGATTCGGCGTACTCCTTTCATGATTATTGTACAGGAGTAAGGGTGTATCGCCTGTTTCCTGTTTAGGATGATGTTTACATGTTTCCTTCTTCTTGAACCATAATATTGTAACTGATCTGTGGCTGAGTTTTTCTCATTTTGAGCGTACCGTGTTGGTCGTTTTCTGGGTGCTGCATCCCGACTGGTAGCAAGGAAGCACAAATCTTTGGTAGTGTTTAAAGAGGCGGCTCTGGTTAACAGTCGCATAAACTCAAAGTATTTGTCTTGTCATGTCGCACATGGATAGGTGTCCCTGCTTGTAATTCCGATGTGTAACCCTGAGTTTGAGTTTATATCATGGCTTCGTCTTAGTCACCTTTTAGCCGGTTGGTATTGCTATAGACGATGAACAGTAATAATAATCTGGACCCTTTATTTCCCTTAAAAATTAAAAGGATCCTCTCTTGACAGTTAGAATGAAGTGATTCTCACTGTGGGACTCTCTTCCGGCTTCTTGATTTCCAATCAATTTTGATCAATAGAAATTTAAATGCAATGCCAATCGCCATCTTCTGTCGTCTTAATTCATGTTCTTTTATTGGACTCTTGCATTAGTAATGTTTTTGTCTGAGATTGCTCTACGTCCTGTAACCCTTTTCGTTTTACTGAATTTATCGCCTTGCTTGGGGCGGTGGTGGTATTTTTCTAAGCGTACATTAGATGTGGCACAAAGACGAAAGTATGGGGCACACTGTGACGATTGAAATCACTCTTCAGTCTTAACTGATCTGATTCCTGGGCTCAACTGGCTTTATAATAGTAAAATTTGATGATTACCTCTAAAATGAGTATTCTTACAAGAAATATTTTTGGCAAGATACAGTCACCCAACTTCTTTTACAGTCGACGCAGCTATTGATTCGACATAGCCGCCCCCCCTTCATGTCAGTAGAAGACGTGAGGCCAAAAAGGTGCAATGTTTTTATCCCATGGCGTCTAGCGATAGCCATGCTGATGGCAGACCGAAATATTTTCTATGCTGGTTAAATGAAGTTTAAATGTTTTCTAGTTTAAACATTGATTTGTAGTCCTTTTCAAGCGATAAGTTTATTTTTCTACACTTCTCATTTGTGGAACACTGTTCCGGCTCCATGCTTTCCAGTCAAGTTTGATCTTTAGAAATTTAAATGCAACGTCAATCGTTATCTGCCGTCTTCCTGCTTACTTCTGTCAATCATTGTCTTCTGTCTTCTTGATTACTCTTCTATTGTTCTCGCTCCGTAATAATGTTTCTGTTTTACAATTCTTTCAAATTTAGTAACCTCTTGCGTTCTTAGTTGCTTTACATATGCTTGCATAAGGGGGGATTTGATAAAAAATACAATGTATTTTAGCCAAAGAAATTTTCTGATATACGATTAATGTATGAAGCTCTCTACTGTTGGAAACGTCCATCTTGTCACAGTGTAAAAAAAAAAAAGACAAACTCGTTATTTATTATATCCTGCTTTATCTTTTGATTTTAAATATACTTTTGTGAAAGAACCTTAAGGTAATAAATTATATGTTTTTCCCTCTTTCCTCTTTACACTCTGACCAAATCAAACGCCATATCAATGATGACAGGGTTTGTAGAATGTCAACAAGGAGTAAAACGTGAAATATAGTCAGTCCGTTGACGACCCAAATGTCAAATAAGTTTTTCTTCTACCGTTGTGTTTTGAAAGTGTGTTTCTCCTTTTGTGTATGCGAAGTTTTCATACTTGATTTCATTGGAAGCGTCTGCGTGTGTGCATAGGTGTCAATGTTTTCATTTGAAGCGTGTCTGTATGGGCATCAGAAGTAGTGGTAGTTGTGGTTAAGGTACAAATAATGATCGACTGGAGATTCATCCTGCTCTGTAGACATTTTAAAGTATGTTGATAATAAAAATGAAATAGAAGAAAATATTTATAAAACTTGTATAGATAGCATCCAGAAGTAAGCAAATTTGGAAATTATTTGATTTTTTTTCTGTTTTTGTTTTTTTGATAACTAAGATGACTTACCGAAATTCATGTGTCTTAAAATTTACTATTATTTCTTCTAAGTTTCAAATGGTTAAAAATTATATTTAGTTCATTTTTTATTCAACAATTTGAAATAGAAAAAAGATATTAAGATTTGAAGTGATAAGACTCTTTCATGTTTCTAAAGATCGTCTGCAAGTGTTAGAAAATATAGCCACCTTTTTTGAGAGGGCAAATTGGTCAAAAAAATGGTCAGAAATGACATCATAGCATTTTCAGTGAAATGTTTTATAAAAAATAAAATAAAACATCCTAAAATGACACAAACTTTCGATTGCGCTGTATTTATTTGTAAATACAATTTTTATATGTCTTTAAGGCATGTGCTAACAGGGATCCGTTCAATGAGTCTATTGGAACATTTTCCTATTAAAACCAATCAACATGATTGCTCCAACCACAAGTGGAATTATTGATGTCTACATGTGCCACATTTTTTTAGATTTGCACTTCAAGATCCTTGCATTTTGATAGGTTTATTATTATTATTATTATTATTATTATAATACCATTTTATGAGTATTTTTAACATCAACAGCAACTGATTACTTACACCCAATAAAAGGGTTGGAACATTTTATTATTTTTAAGCATTTCCAGATTATTGATCAAAGTCCTGGCAATGGAGGTTAACGCTCTCTTGAATGTACTATCGTAATATTCATAACCTGATCTTGGGTCACTTGGGTCTGCGCACCTGAGGCGGCACGTCGGCAGGATATGGATACTCCACTCATAACATTATTATTATTAATAAATTAGTTAATTAGTAATAATAATAATAATAATAATAATAAAAATCAAAGCTAACAGCCCATACATTGTTATTAGAGACGGCAAACAAAAAAGTGCCTCCTTATTGTATTTTTGAAGATCTTCAGAAAGCTATCAAAATAAAAGGACCTTCAAATCGAAATCTCAAAAATGTGGCACAGGGGAACATCAACATTCTCTGTTGTAGTTGGAGTCCTCAGATTGGTTGGAAAAGATTCCAGTAGACTCATTGAAGGGATTCCTTGAAGAACATGCATTAAAGAAATACAAAAAAAAAATGTTCTCACAAGTACAGCCCACACCTTAAAATATGCATGTTTTTTTTTAATTGGTCAGTGGAAAATGTCATTTTGCCATTCCTACCCTTAGGTCTTTGGGCAGGACCCGGAAAGAAATGTGTACACACCAGAAATCAAAGGAAATAAAGTTATAATAATAATAATAATAATAATAATAATAATAATAATAATAATTGCCTCCTGTTTCGTATACTCCTTTTTTTAATTATTTCCCCTGAACTGGGGTAAGGGAAAGTAATAAATATATGCATTCTTTTTGTAAAAATTATGATTTTAAGCGATACGTAAATGTGCAGTTTTTATATATTTTTTACACTGAGAATATTCCCCTTGGTAGATGAGAAGTTTGATACAGTATAAAATTTTAATGTTTGTTTTTTTTAAACAGAGGCGACCAGGTATTTTTTTAATGTTTTTTTTTCGTGCCTTTTTTACCGCACCCAGAACTGCAATTATTGCAGTCGTGTGAAGGAGTCACGTTTTCGTTTTTCAATCCTAAGCTCCATATATTTATCAATTTTGCCAAATCCCTAGCAGATATATTTTTATCTGCTGCCATTATATAACAATATGATATGATATGATATTATTATTATTATTATTATTATTATTATTATTATTTTTGATTTCTGGCGTTTACACATTTCTTTCCGGGTCCCGCCTAGGGATCTAAGGTTAGAA